TGTGACAAAAGAAATCCGTAGGATGCATGTGAGTCTCCGCTGAGATGCGGAGACCTGCCCTGATCTTGAATTTTCCACCCAAGCATCCTGGACTGTGGCCTGAGAGGAACTCTCTTCTCTCAGAGACTGCAGAGAATCCTCTCAGCCTGCCTGAGGCCTCTTGCCTTTCACACTGGAATGGCATTTCCAAGAGGATATGGCCCTGGCAGTCAACACAGCATAGGTACTGGAAGGAACAGTAGAGGCCAAGGTGTGAGCCCTAGTCTTGCCACTAGTCTTTGGGAAGTGTCCAAACCTGCCCAGACTGTGAACTCTTCTGTAACACGAAAAGACATTTATGGAACTTGTTAAAACAAATGCCAGGAGAGGGGGCGCCTGGGTGCCTCAGGGGTAGGGTGTCCAACTTCCACTCAGATCACGATTTCACAGTTCGTAGAGTTTGAGGCCCGCGTCAGACTCTGTGCTGAAGGCTGCTTCAGATTCTGTCTCCCTCTCACTGCCCCTCCCCCGCCTCAGAAAAATAAACAAACATTAAAAATCGGGGCACCTGGGTGGCTCAGTCAGTTGAGAAACCGACTTTGGCTTAGGTCATGACCTCGCAGTTGGTGAGTTCGAGCCTCACATCGGGCTCGCTGCAGTCAGCCTGTCAGCGCAGAGCCTGCTTCAGATCCTCTGTCCCCCACCTCTCTGCCCCTCTCCGGCTTGCACTCTCCCAAAAATAAATAAACATTAAAAAAAAAAAACCAAAAAACCCTTTTTTTAAGTGCCAGCAGAGGACTGTAGATAACAGATTCCATCGTGTTAGTCTTTTTACCGCACCATATGCAAGAGAAACGTGCAAAAAAGAAACAAGCCTCACAGAAAGGTGGAGATGCCACACAGCGATGTCCTTTGAAACCGAACAAAGAAGTAAAATGGACACCGCAGAGCCCAGCGGGATAAAGGCCCGAGTTCGAACGTGAGCTCTGCTGGCATTTAGCCGTACGACCTTGGCTTCGCCATCTCGCAGCTCCAAGGCTCCGTTTCCTCGTCTGCAAAATGCGGATGATGCAAATACCTCCTTGTTGGGATTTCAGTGAGAATCGATAGGAGATAGAAAAACGCCCGCAGCAGCGTTTAGCGCACACAGCGCTCTCAGAAAATGTTCCTCCTTTCCTTCCTGCCTGATGTGAAAACTCTCCCTGACCTTGAGAGAAACCGGAAGAGAAATCTGCTCCTTCCTGTTTTTATAACCATAATGGAGACAGCACCGCGGCATTTCTGTCACACACCTGGCCTGGCCTACCGGGTTAGGGTTCCCAAACTTCCTGGCTCTCCCCTGAGGAGACACATAAGCAGGTGGATTCCACTGGGAAGAAGGGACAATAGGGTTCCCGAAGGGCTGAATGAACGCATTTGTAACAGGATTTGGAGATTCGCCGAGGAGGGCTGCGGAGGCCGCCCCTCCTGCACCAAATCCCCCCATGTGTGGTGTGCTAGCTGGCAAATCCAAGGAGCAGCCACATCAGCCTGTGACGCAGCGATCGGAAACAGCTCTGGCCAAATGCTGGTCCCTTCTGTCTGATGCGTCAGGCACTGCAGACAGCTTCGTTTGGAAAATGGGTTCCAGCCCTTTCAAATAAGTTGGAAAAACCACCGGCCCAGGTCCTCGAGGGCGTTTTTAGCAGTGGAGGAAGCAAGAGTGGCAGAGGGACTTTCCTCCAGAAACTTCATTTCACCCCCAGACATCCTGGGTTCTCCTTGCCAGCTTCCTGAAGGCTGTTCCTACTCTAATGGCCGCCCGCGACGCCCTGACGATAACACAGAGGCAGATGTTGCGTGGATCTGGCCCTGCCCCAAGGCCGATGACTCACCGGGATGACGGAGCCTCCCTGGCAGATAACACGGTTCTCAGAGGATTCCATGAAGCCAAGAACAAAACCCGAAGGCCTGGACACTCCAGGACTTTCCCTGGTACTTCACTAGAAATGGAAACTCTGTTAGCCCACAATGGGCATCCCACAATGGGTGGGAGAGGTGGGACAAGGGTCAGGGCATGGAGGAAAGATGCTCAGAAGCAGGTGGGTCAAGGCCTAGGCAATGCATTAGCTGAAGTGGCCGTGGGAGGGTCTTGGATGATAATCCACACGTTGCAACAGCACCGTTGGTTTTCTGGCCCTGCTCCGAGCTACGGCTCTTTTCTTCCATGACAATGAAATGACTGGCAACAAACGTCTGAAACTGGCCCACCAGAGGCCTAAACTGAGAAGGGGGTGTTGGAGGCTAAAGCGAGGAGCGATAGCCATAGAGTGGCTCGGGGTCAGGCAGATCGAAGCTCAAATACCCACTCTGCCACTTCCCAGCTGAAGGATCTTGCACAAGCCTCTTGTCAGCCTCTTCGGGCTCAGTTTCTCCATTCATAAAATGAGAAGAAGGTTGTGAGAATGAATTGAGATCATCTATATCTATATAAAAAAAGCTCGGCATCATGTCTGGTGCAATGTATATACCCAATGAATGACTGCTCTTTATTTATTTTGGTGATGACACCAATTGTGACTTAGCTTTGGCCCAGCGGGGCTTCCGCTTTATTTCTGAGTGCAAGTTCCCATTCTGGCCACCTCTCTAGTCCTCTTAAGACCTGAGCCCTTTCCCTGAACCACAGCCCAGGCCTCTGAGAACCACCCTAATACTAGCTGCCCATAAGGATTTCTAGATTTCAGCTCCCTTGATTCTTTGTCACTGTGTTTCACCCACATACCACACCACCGCCATCCTTTGCCTTGGACACCTCCATCATCACCTACTGAGGGTCCGAACTGGGACCACATATCCGGTATCTGTTGCCCACTAGAGTTAAACTCCTCCATCAGCCCCCGAAGCTTATCAATTACCTGAGACCAACGCCTCCCCATTAGGCAGTTCTAAGACACCGGTCTGGTTTCCCTTCCTACTAGCCAGCCGTGCCCTGAAGATGGGAGATCCACGGCAGGGTCAACTCATAGCGGGATGTGGTCATTTGTGGAGTTGGTGGCAACAGGCAGTTTTTAGCCACCGGCTTGTCACAATGGTCCTGAAAGCTTCTAAAATTCTGTGACAAGTGATTCTATTGCCTAGGTTACAAAAGCACCGGCAGACAAAGCACATCTACTTCCTTTCTCTCCTCTGACTTCAGACTTTGGTGAACGAGCCTGGAGCGGTGAATGGAATGCTATGGGTGCGCTCACAGTACCATGAAGTGGTGCCGTGGTGCCGGGAGAGGTGTGCACAGACCAGCTGGGTCACCACAGTCAAAGGTGGCTCTCAGCGAAGGAGAGATGCCCACAGGATGCGGCCCTACCCATTTATTCATTCGCTGAGCCAGGCAGCCAGCCTGCCATTGGATGTATATGCATCAAGTATTCGCTAGGCTGCTTGTGAAAGGGATGCAAAGGCCAATGAAGCAAGGCCTCAGGAAGCCCAGAGGCTGCCCAAGCTATGCACCGTCACAACACAGTAAGGCAGGCGCCGGACATGGGAACCTGTAAGTTCCGTGGCCGCGCTGAGGTCAGACCTCTCGGTCAGACCAGGGTGGAGTGGTAGGTGGCGGCAGGGAGAGATCCAGAATAGATGACTTAGGCTGAGGTTTCACTGATGCGTGGGAACCTGCTGGGCGGAAGGCAACTAGTAGTAACAGCCCGCGCAGAGGCTCACGGTGTGTGAGAGCATGACATGTCCAAGGATCCAGAGACCGGTCAGTGCATCAACAGAAGGGGTTTGCTTTTAGTAATGAACAGCAGGAGATGAGTCTAGAGAGGCAGGCAGAGGTCTGATCAGGGAAGGCTGTGTGTTGAGCGAGGGAGGTTCAACTGTATTCCATGGGCTGTGAGGAGACACCGGCATAAGAACCTCTAACAAGTGGTTAGGTGGAGGCGTGACAGGGCACAGGAGGGAACAGCCGTTGGCTTCTGGCTGAACATCCAAGTTTTCTCAAAGTTTTGACCTTCCCTTTGGGCAGTCTCCCATTGCGTGCGGTAGGCCCTGTCGGAAGATATACCCTGGGGCAGAGCTCTATAAGTTACCCATTTTAGAGACGGGGTGCAGCAGAGTGTGGTCTGGTGATCTCCCCGACCATCTTTCTCCCTTGTGTTCCCAGTGCTTGGCACATAGTAGATACTCAGTCCTGGTTGAACGAATGTATAAACGACAATGGGACAATGGGACAATAACCTTACTAAAAACCTCGTGTGAGTGCATTAGGGGCCTTTATCTCCTTATCCACAGAATGGTTCCTACTGCCAAAGTAGATCTCCATTACATTTGGAGGATGGGGCGGGGGGTGGTTCTTAGACCTGAAAGAGGCCCACAAGTCTGTGTGAGGGTTACATTTGTATGCGCCACTCCAGGAAACTTACAGCATCCCCATCACTTAACACTGAGTTGCATTAATCAGATGTCAGGCAAGAAAAAAAGAAGAGAAAGTGAGCTGACCTACTCTGTTTCTACTGGTTGCATTATCCTCAATGCCAGTCTTTGCAGGGCTGTTGAGAGGAGAGGAGACAAGATAAGCAGGAATACAGTACCTGACACATGTTAGGTGCCCAGAGATGTGTGACTCACTTCCTCCCTAGCTAGGGTAAGGGCTCAGTAAATGACAGCTCGCATTACTCATAGTCCTTATCACAGCCCTACGAAGTAAGCATTCTTACTCTCATGTTAGAGCTGAGAATACGATAGGCTTTCGCAGGCCACGTAGCTTATAAGTAGGAAATTCAGGATCTGAACCCAGGTCTGCCTGACTCCAAAGTCCATTCCTCTCCTCTCCTCCTGGCTTTTTTTGAAAAGACAAACAGCACTGGGCACGTACTGAGCACAGCTGGGTTGACACAATGAATGCAGGAGTTGAAGAGTACCACGTGTATCAGGGACATCAAAAGCAGCCATACCCCCTCTGGTGTTGGCAAAGTGATGAATTCCAGCATGAGACAACCAGGTTCCTTCCTCCAACGGCCATTTTTCACCGAGGTCCATGTTTCCAACAGCTCTTTTGTATGTGCAGCTCTTGGAATCTCCTGAAATAAATAATGAGCACAAAAAAAGGGAGATGAATTACCACCGATGCTCTCCTGGGCCAGAGAAGACTTCTGGTAGGAAAGTCGTCATTTCCAGTTCAGTATGTTTCTTTAGCATGCAGAGATTGTGGTCAAGATCTGGGCACGGCCCAAATATGAGATCTTCCAATGAGGCTACTCAAATCTGCAAACCATGGTTTCCCTCCCCATTCAGTTAACAAATGTTTATGGAGCAACCATCACATGCCAGGCTTTGAGCGAGAAACTTACTGTGTTGAGTTCTGCACATAATATAGACTTCTAGAATTTCAGGGTAGGATACAGTAGAATCTCAATTTCATAAAAATAATGGGTATATACTTCTATATACGCTTAAAACACGGACTGGAAAAATTCTGAACCAGAAAATTGGAGGTAGCTACTAATACATTGGAATTATGAGTGCTTATTTTCTGTGTAATTTTCTGTATTTCCACAATAAACGTGCATTACTCTGATTGTCTGAAAAATGTATACAGTAAGTGTCATTTGAAAGAAAAATACCAGGGCTAAGAAGGATCATGGAGACCAATTTTTCATTTCCCCTTGAAAACCATGACAGAAAGTCACATGTCACGAAGGGTCTTGGCTTTCACGAAAAGGTCACCTCACCAGGTACCTCTGAGAAGTCCAGCCTGGGGAATCTCTACCTGTATCTGGGAAGATTACAACTCATGGCCAATCTTTTGCTTTTTCATTTCAAAGAGGTTTTCATAAAGCTCTGCATGTAGCAGGTTCTCAAATCGACGTGGCCGAATAATTGGACGTGACTGATTGACTTAATCTAGAAATGCAGTGCGTAGGCTATCCACCATGTCAGAAACCCTGTCAGCCTAACTAGGATGGCCACCAATTATCAGTTGTCGCAATCAGACCAGCTGGCTTGCTTTGATCTCTAGAACACTGTCGAAAGTTGCCTTGAAGTTTCCTGCAGGCACGGCACATTGACTTGTTGTCTTTTGGCTGTCTGCCTGGCGAAGTCTGGTGCTCTTGGGAATTGCAACGAATAACGAAAAATCTCTCGTAAAATACCAGGTGGGACCAAAGATTGTGCTGTACTTTACTGGGTACTGGCTCCCTAGGGATTTGTTTTCAATCCAAGCACCCAAAAGTTTTAGGAGGGAATCCTAGACCAGAGGGGATACAGCACAATGACGCAGCAAAAACATTGCACTTACGAATAGATCCAGATTTTAGCCCTGGCTCTGGCACAACGGAGTGATTTGGGGCAAACCACTTACTGTCTCTGGCTTGATCTCCCCAACTTTAAATGAAGGAATTAGGACCAGATGTTGGCAAAGGCTTGTTCAGTCTTCCAAAACTTGCAGCTTATAATAATATGCTTTACATACAAAGGCGACCTATCCACCCACGTCAGTGGGTGGAGAAAGCTGTGTTATTTATCCATTAGCAAACTGAGACATCAGCCTGAGCACGTGAGAGGTGGCTGATCAAGGCTAGAGATAATCTGCCATCAGAACAAGACATGCTCTCTGTGCAAAACTAAAAACATGTCTGGAATAAAAATCCAATCCTGAGCCGTGATCACGCCGGCATCGTCATTTAATCAAACGACCTAAGTATTCAACATCTTGTACCTTCACCGGTCATGAAATAACATTAATAATAGTACTACATCCTTAAAAAGCAACTTTTATTTGCAGTAGACTGGCCATTCAAAACCATTTCGTCATTAATTCTTGCAGTATCTTTGAGGAGTTGGAGATTCTAATAGCTTTATTTGGCAAAAATCGAGCTTTATTGATTACTTGGACAGTGGTTTTCCTCATTGCTCTTGGCCCAGTGATCTAGGCACCCCCTGCCCCACCAAGGAACCAGATTTGTAGGATGATCTCTCCTGGATGTGTGAGGTTAGATTCTCACATCTGTGTATTTATTTTACTAATCTGAGCTACATAGGCTCACATTGTTTTATTAACTTCAACCTACAAACCCCGCTGGTTTCTCTGATGCTTGAATTTCACACCCCAGCTTGGGAAAGCCACACACAAAATGTGAACTGAAATTGCATCAAGCACAAGTATTTCGAGGAAGACTTTGATCAATCCCATCTGTTACTGACACCCTAACACTATCACTTCAGTCACGGGAAGGCCCAGCGTTGCTCGTGAAACTGTGGAGCCTAGGAAACATTTTCCAGGCCTCTGGCCATAATTTATTCAAGGTTTTCTATAGAGTGGTGAACCTCTATCCATGTCTCAAAGACTAAGTCTGCACAGAAGAAACTAAAACATGCAAAAAATCTTTAAAGTTTATTTTTGAGAGAGAGTGAGAGAGAGCAAGGGAGAGACAGAGGGGGAGAGAGAGCAAATCCCAAGGAGGCTCTGCACTATCAGCATGGAGCCCAACCCAGGGCTTGAACTCATGAATCATGAGATATCATGATAGCAGATATCAGATATGATGACCTGAGCTGGAACCAAGAGTCCAACGCTTAACGGACTGAGCCACCCAAGTGCTCCTAAAAGACAAAATTAATGCAACCTTGGGAACGGGGAGTGAGGAAATACTTTAAAGGATAAGGTGGGGTGGCGTGAGTGGGAAAGCCTGTTCAAATCCTACAGTTGTAACTGACTTTGAGAAGCATTTTTCAAAGAGCTATCTGTTGAAAGTGCTGCCATAAACATTGGGGTACAACTACCCCTATGCATCAGCACTCCTGTATCCCTTGGGTAAATTCCTAGCAGTGCTGTTGCTGGGTCATAGGGTAGATCTATTTTTAATTTTTTGAGGAACCTCCACACCGTTTTCCAGAGTGGCTGCACCAGTTTGCATTCCCGCCAACAATGCAAGAGGGTTCCCGTTTCTCCACATCCTCTCCAGCATCTGTAGTCTCCTGATTTGTTCATTTTAGCCACTCTGACTGGCATGAGGTGGTATCTCAGTGTGGTTTTGATTTGTATTTCCTTGATGAGGAGTGACGTTGAGCACCTTTTCATGTGCCTGTTGGCCATCTGGATGTCTTCTTTAGAGAAGCATCTATTCATGTTTTCTGCCCATTTCTTCACTGGATTATTTGTTTTTTGGGTGTGGAGTTTGGTGAGTTCTTTATAGATTTTGGATACTAGCCCTTTGTCTGATATGTCATTTGAAATATCTTTTCCCATTCCAAATTATGGAAAGAGCCTAAATGTCCATCAACTGATGAATGAGTAAAGAAATTGTGGTTTATATACACAATGGAATACTACTTGGCAACGAGAAAGAATGAATTACGGCCTTTTGTAGCAATGTGGATGGAACTGGAGAGTGTTAATGCTAAGTGAAATAAGTCATACAGAGAAAGACAGACACCATATGTTTTCACTCTTATGTGGATCCTGAGAAACTTAACAAGACCATGGGGGAGGGAAAGGGGAAAAAAAAGTTAGAGAGGGAGGGCGGCAAACCATAAGAAACTCTTAAAAACTGCGACTAAATTGAGGGTTGATGGGGATGGGCGGGAAGGGAAAGTGGGTGATGGGCATTGAGGAGGGCACCTGTTAGGATGAGCACTGGGTGTGGTATGGAAACCAATCTGACAATAAATTTCATGTTAAAAAATAAATAAATAAATGTTTAAAAAAAAAGAGCTATCTGTATTCCCACGTTCATTGAAGCATTATTTACAGTAGCCAAGATATGGAAACAAGGTGTCTTATTAATGAATGAATGATTGGATTAAGATGTTTTACTTAAACATACACAGTTTACATAGTAGATCTGGAGGGCATTATGCTAAGTGAAAGAAGCCAAAGAGGGAGACAGTAAATACTGCCTGATATCACTTACATGTGGAATCTATAAAGAAAAAAGGTAGAACTCTTAAAGAGAATAGAAAAGTGGTTGCCAGGGGCAGGAAGTTGGACAAAATAGGGAGAGGTTGGTAAAAGGGTGCGAACTTTCAGCTGTAAGACGAATAAGGTCTGAGGGTCTAATGTACAGCCCAGTGACTCTAGCTGATAACACTGTATTGTATAAGTGACATTTGTTAAAAGAGTGGAACTTGAATGTTGTCCCCCATAGGTAAATATGTAAGGTAATGGATATGCTAACTAGATGGGAAGAATCATTTCACAACGTACACATACATCAAATCGCCAGTGTATACCCTAAATATCTTTCGATACTATTTGTCGATTAAACGTCAATAAAGCTGAAAAAAAACCATAGGAAAAATAAAGAGAAGCACTAAGCCACCTGCATCGTTGGACACTGGGGTGTATGGGATGCAGGATACTGTGAATACATAATTGATCTTTCATAAACATTGGTTGATTGAACAGACGCATAAATGATAATGACCAGTGTTTGTAAGGACCCTAGTCAGATACCAGCTACTGTTAAGCTGGCAAAGGAAACCTTCCTGCCCCAAGAGAGTGGTATGGGGCCCAATGGACCTTTGGACTTGAGGAAGTTAACCCTGACTCCCTGACGACCAGAACTCAACCTAAACAGACATGTCCTCCTCTCTTTTCAGAGCTGTCTCCAGAGCAAGCCATCCTCCCAGCTGCCTGAGCCAGAAACAGACTATCCTTGATTGATTGATTACATCGCGACGATCAATCACCACATTGTGTCCATTCTAACTTTCAGGTGTCTCAAGAATACATTCGCTTCCCTCTGTTCTCAGTTCAGCCACTACCATCTTCCATTGAAATACTACAGCAATTTCAGTGGGTCCCTGGCCTTCCTTTCCTCCAACCCAGTCTCCACACTTTGTTGTATAGTATATTTTTTAAATTTCTTTGTAAGATTTTTTGTTTATTTATTTTGAGAGAGGGCGCACACAAATGGGGGAGAGGGGCAGCGAGGGAGAGAGAGAGAATCCCAAGCAGGCTCCATGCTGTCAGCGTGGAGCCCAAAGTGGGGCTTGATCTCACGACCATGAGATCGTGACCTGAGCCAAAAATCAAGAGTTGGACGCTTAACTGACTGAGCCACCTGGGCGTCCCAGTTGTATTAACATTTTTTAAAACACACATCTGATCATGTCACTCCTCGATTAAAATACTTCAATGATTCATTATTCTCAGGGAAAAGTCTGGACCATTCATACATAAGGCCCAACTATAGCAAAGTATTTACAGTCTCTGAATAAGCAGCCTTCTTTGGTCTTTTGTGTATTCATCCAGCCATTCTAGAGCTCTGGCAAGACTGCCTTCCTGCCTCACCTTGCTAACTGCAATTTATCCTTCACATCTCATCTTAGAGATGGTTGTATGTTCCCACAGACTTCCCTGTCCTTACCTCATTACGTGTTTCACACTGTACTGTAAATGTCTGTTAATATGTAGAGTTTAGTTCATAATTTATGTCCTTGAGAACAGAGATCCTACTTATTTGTACCCCTGGCATTTGTACAGGGGCTGACTCAAGGTAAGCACTCAACCTATATCTGTTGAATGAATGAATGAATGGTGGTGCTTGGCACAAGCATCTTTAGCATGTTCCTTTGGAAAGTATTCTCTTTGCAACCTCACCCACCTCCTCTGCTTCTTTGGAAATTTCTCCACTTAAAAGCCACACCTTATCTGCCTCTGCTTCCTGGCCCCATCCTGACCTTCTCATCCAGTCTAACCTGCTGAGATTCTCCCACTTATACTCCCACTTCAGTCTGCATACCTGTTCCTCTGCCCAGCATGCCACTAGAGCCCCTGCCCTTCACACACCTGCCTCCCTCTCCAAGCTTGGGATGAAACTACACGTGACTATCCACAGGAGATACCTGCCCACCTAATACAGCCGAATCACACCTAGACCTCTAACCAATATCTCTGGAGTCTTTTCTGCCAGTGGGGCTAGATCTAGAAATATAAATTCAGAAAACCCCTGGCCATAACCTTGACCCTGCCTTTACTGCCATAATATAGTTCCAACTGTAGAGAAGGAATAAATTATGTAGACGTGCCGTATGTGGGGAATCATGTGGTATATTGCATCATCTAGGTATTCGAGCAACAAGGGGTTGTAAAGAATATGAACACCCTCACAGCAAGGAAGCCCGTTTGCTGATTACTTATACTAAAATCAAAATATACATAACTTATACCATGAATCAAGATGTATATAGAGATATTAATATAGTTATACAAAATCTATTCATTTGATAAATATTTACTTGGTATCTCCTATGTTTTAGTTACTGTGCTAAATGCTTGGGATAGAACAGGGTAAATGTCTTTCTTTCTTCAAGGAGTTTTCAACCTTGTCTGGGAGACAGATATCTAGACATATCATTACAGAATAACGTACTAAGTGCAAGCATAGAGGCACGCACAAGGTAAATCAAAGATCAGCAAATAATAAAATCTAGAATTTGGTAGGGATCTTAGGGCCTTTAGTCCAACCCTTGCCTTATGCATGAGTATAACCTCTCCAGTATATGCCTACCTGGCTTAAACTTAAATACTATCAGTGGGAAGGACCTCCCTTTCTCTCCAGACAGTCCGTGATATTTGTGAACACTTTGGTCAAGCACCTCATTTTAAAATTCTTCATATATTGATATTTACCAACAATAAATATTGGTGCTGAGCTATTTTAGGACTCCTACCCCTTGTTCTATTCTTCGAAGGCTGCTTAAAGATGTGATACTTTTCCAGGAATATCAAAAATTGACCCTAGTTCTGATGTTCTCCGAGTCTTGCAGATCTGAACCTCCTTCTTCAACAAGTCAGGAATCAGAAGGAGTGTTCCGTATTGGTTCTGAGTAGAAGGTATAAATCTATCTTGTCACACCCAGAAAAGAGGCCAAACAGCTAAGTTACAGCGCAAGAGGGAAGAGGTTCCATGATGGGATCTTCTTCTCAACTAGGAACTTCTGGCTAGCACCTGCATTACCTGGGCTCTAGGTGTCTTAGTCAGTATGGGATGCTGTAACAAAGTACCATAGACTGGGTGGCTTATAAAAACCAGAAATTTATTTCTTATAGTTCTTGAGGCTGAAAGTCCAAGATGAGGCTGCCAGCATGGTCAGGTTCTGGGGAGGACCCTCTTTTGGTTGTACACTGCTGACTTCTCATCGCATCTTCACATGGCAGAAGGGGCTAGAGAGTTCACTGGGGTCCTGTTTACGAGGGCATTAATCCCTTGTGTGAGGGCTCCACCCTCATGGCCTAATCGCACCCAAAGATCCTCCCGATACCATCACATTGGGGGGTTAGGACTTCAATATACGGATTTTGAGGGACACAAATATTCGGTCTCTTGTACTAGTATCATCTATCAGAGAAATCCAATCACCAGCAACCTTGTGGACCAGGGTAGCACAGAGGGCAGTATCCTCTTGGGCTGCCCCAAGAGTTTGGCTCCGATGAGTTTCAGTTTCTAAATTTGGAAGATTCTTTTCTTTCCATCTCCAGATAAACCAGGCACATCAGAGTCTACATTTGGGCTCCTGGTATTCAAGTGATAAAATTCAGCAACACATACAAGACAAGACTCTTAAGCTGGGAAAAAGAGGAGTAGAATGCTCTTAAGTATCCTGTGTAAGAAAATACCTCTTCACGTGAATAAAGGGACATGAAATGCTAGAGGCAGAGTCTTCCTCTGTCTGAAATGGCTGATATTTAGAGTTGCCATGATTCTTCTGGGATTCTTATTTGTTCCAAAGTATTCTTACCAGCTTTGTAGAATTGGAAAGTTTGAGTAACTTAAAAACCATTATTTCAAATAGGCTCATCCAACTAAGCAGAGTATTTGTGAAGGTACCGTGTAGTTTATTGATGTTAATATTTTAAGTACTCCAATAAATAATTTATGCTACTACTCTAAGGAGCTATGGCAACAAGCATATTTTTAGGAAACCTAATGAAGTTATAAAATTGTGAGGTTCCTTGCAGTACTCTCAGTGACTCAGACTTTTCATCTCTAAAGTCAGTCCATTGAGACGGAGCTTAGAAGTCCCATCTGCCATGAAACCTTCCCAGGCAGTTATTTCCTTCTCTGTGCTTTGCAGAACTTTTTGTATTCCATTAGGACAATGCTTTTCCATTGGATGATAGTACTCTCTTTACAAGATGACTGTCATGCTCAGTGGGAGGCGGTCTCCTCAGGACAAAGTTATATCTTATCCACCCTTCCATTGCCACCATTAGCCCAGTAGCCCCACATCTGGCCGGAAGTGGGGTTAGGCAATGCTTGTTGGATGAATGAGACTGACGTACCTACAGCAGAGACTTCAATGAGTCTGTACCTGCAAACTCTTCACATAACTCAGGGTTCCACCAGCAATCACAGCAAAAGATTTGTCATCATATTCTGCCATCCAGGCAGCACAATGCCTGAGCCCATGCTGATGAAGTTGGGAAAAGGAAGATAAATACTTCAAGAAAACTGGGTTCTCATGTGACCCTGGACGAATCACGTCATCTCCCTGGAGCTCTCAGTTTTTCTAGTGTATGAAATAGAGCTTATGAAGTCCATTATTCTATCTTTAACAGAGTTTTGTGAAAATCATATGTCAACTGGAGAATCATCAAAACAGTATACAAACACATAGCACTGTCATCATTCAGCAAATTTGCTGAGAGATATCACCTGCTATGCAGCATTGAATTCCAACTTGTAGTTGCCCAAGTTGCTATTCCAACTTGTAGTTGACATAGCATGTGGGAGGCAGTATAAATGTACAGTCTAAATTTGGGTGAGAGCAAGGACTTTGGGGACAGATCTAGATTCAAATCCCAGGTCCACCATTTCCTAGCAGTGATCCAAGAGCGAAGCGTATCACCTTGCTGAGCCTCATTTTCCCCCTAACAGGGGATCACAGCACACACTTTGTGGGGTTGCTGTAACAATGAAATGAGACATATCTGTAATGTACCTCATATAGATCCTAGCTGGTAATACAACTCAATAAATGGTGATAGTACTTGTTGTTTAATATTTATTTTTGAGAGAGAGAGAGAGAGAGAGACAGAGAGACAGAGCATGAGTGGGGGAGGGGGAGAGGCAGAGAGAGAGGGAGACACAGAATATGAAGCAGTCTCCAGGCCCTGAGCTTTCAGCACAGAGGCTGACGTGGGACTCGAACTCCCCAACCGCAAGATCATGACCTGAGCCAAAGTCGGATGCTTAAACCAACGGAGCCACCCAGGCACCCGATAGTAGTTGTTTTTATTAAAATCATTATTAACTCCTGGAGTAGATATACTTCTGCAAGTGACTTAGTCCCACCTGCAAAGTCCATTCCATGGGGAAAACTGTGATGGAGCATTAGGAAGCAGTCATCTGTCCCTGGAGCAAGGCTGCTGGCTGGACCCCACTTCCAAGAAAAGGACATGTGTAAAAAGTGGCCTCCAGTACACATGTGAAACATGGGCTGTGTGCCAGTCCTGGAAAGGAAGGGGGATAAGCAGGAAGGAGCAAGAGAGACAAAGAGGCAGGGAAAAGTTCCGTAAGGACTTGCTGAGGCAGAGCCATAAACGATGTCGTCTGCGCGTGGGATATTGTGAAACCACAGGAGAGGATTAAGTGGTTCTATTTCAGAACAGGAATTGAACTGCACTCTATGAGGCAGAGACAAAGAGCCAGAATAAGACAAGTGACCAACGCTCTGAAAATGAACCAAAGTGCCACAGCTCTGATCGAGAACAGGGTATTGACAGAGAACCTACTGAAGGCTGCTGCCAGGGTGTTGGGTTGGGGAATGGGTTAAATGGCTGATGGCCAC